AATGTCAGGAAGTAACCCCAAAATTTGTGACCAGTCATTATGTTTGGGTTGCCAGAATATGGGGAGATTTTAATTCCTATATTTGTCTGGAATATTCACGTTGGATGGTAAGCATATATTTGATTTGTACAAGATAAAAATAGGATTAGTCAAAAGACCTGTATATGAAATGTAATTCCATTTTTATAAAAAGACTGTAGATGGATTAACATCAACTTTTATTTTTCTCTTATATTCTCTTCTGAGTTATCTTTTAAATAAGATTATAACTTCTACAATTAAGAAAATACTTTGAAGCATAAATTTTGTATTTAAAAGACACCCATAAATATTTGAAAGCAGCAATCTATATCTCCATTTGGTTTTTCCGGCTTTGGCCCAGCATCTCTTTAATTCTCTCACTAAATCACTCAGTTTGCAGACCCTTTATACCAACTCACTGTATAGATTCTGAACCGAACCATTCTGGTTTCTCCTTCTCTGGGTGCCTTTTTTTTGTTTTTTTTTACAATGAGTCTCTCATAAAATTTCCAAAATGAAAAGAAATACCCCAAGGGAGTTCTGGTCTGCACAAAACAAAACCCAATGAGATTACCTAAGATTCATGCAGACTTAGATGTCATTTGCATTGTTAGTCAGTGAGTCAGTGAGTAGGTAAGCAAATTTTGCTGAGTTACATCATGTCTGCTTTTATACCAAATATGATAAAGATCCCAAGATATCCCCAAATTTCCATTGTGTTGAATTGCCTTTTTTTCCTAAGTCAAATAAAAGTAGTATTATTCAGCTAAAGTAACTTTAGTGGTAGGAAAAAAAAACCCTTTTGTGTAGCTGCTTCAAGAGAATACTCTGCTGAAATTAAAACAATCTCAGAACCATGGGATCATTGTCTTGTTTCCTTTCACACCTAGACAACTTAACAGAAATCTCATCTATGTACAGAAATGGTTCATTGAGAAAACCTGGGAAACAATATTTAGCAACCATGTGGACCAACCATAGCAGCTTTCTTTGATTTTAAACGAAATCAAGCTGATATTCTCCAATGAGCCACCACTTTTAGATTTATGTATGAAAACAGTTGGTCATATAATTAGGCAGAGTATAAGTTTCAGTTTCCAACTTTTGTAAACTCTGGGCACACAAAAACTGAAGGTATGAACATTTGAAAGTAGTGGGCTTTCAGTGTCTTTCTAGGCTCCACAATAGAGTTGGAAAGGAAAAAAAGAAGAAAGTACTCTGATGAACTTAGCAGAATGCCAAAGTGAGAGAAATGAGAGAAAAGAGAAATGAGAATGTGTGCAGAATGATAAATTGACTCTATGTCAAATGAAATAGATTTTGAAATAACTGTGAAAAGTATAAAATGTCTGAGCATAAAGAGCCTGCCAACTGACAAAAGATGAATAAATGGGGCACTTCAAAGAAGGAATTTCCCAGCTGTGCTCACAAGAATCTTCAAAAGCTGTTCCATATGAGATAGCAGGAAAATATTTTAATAAATAGAAACAAATAACTGCTATAAAGATATGAGAGAAGTTTGGAGTTATTTGTTCTATATTATAGTGACCAAATAAAGGTGATGCTAGTTGCTTTTTAAGACATTAATATTTTCAATTATTGTAACTTAAATAAGTTAAGACAATAGAATCTCATGTGTGATTTTTTTGAGTGTGTGTTTCCAGGAGAATGAACATAATCACAGGGCAAATACTTGAGACAGCACAGAGTTAGAGGAGAAGATAAAGCAGGAGCACAAAGGACTTGATTTGGGCATAAAGAAAAATGTTTTGTGTGCTTATGTGCTTTTAAGGACGAAATAGATCTCACAAATGTGAGCAGGGGTCCATGTCACTGAAACTGAAGATGATGTCAAGATCCAGGATCAGGTGACACCTCATCTGCTCGTTCTTAGCACAGTGGAGGTGATTCCCTTCTTCAAGGCCTCTGTGTGTCTCTGTTGAGCTTCTCTCATCATTCACACAGCAGGGCCTCCATCCCTCTTTTTGGAGTGTCTAATCACCTGTTCCAGCAGGAAATCTTTTCTCTGCTGCAGCTGACCTTGTCCTCTCATTGTCATCTCTATCCCCTTAACTCTATGTTTGGTTCCAAACTAGACTGGCCAAAAACCAAAGAATAATCCGTCCCCTTTGTTTTTCCTGGAAGGACTTCATGCCAAAAACCATTAAGCTCATTAGGCAATTGTACAGCATCCTGTGCTCAGAAGAGCCCACTTGAGGTTTAATGCTCTGCAGTGCCTGTGTTGACATTCTTAATACTTCTATCTTTGAATTGGTGTTTTGTAAGTGAAGACTAATGGGACTGGGGAACATGCTCCAAGGACCTGGAGCTTCCATTCATACTCAATCTCAACACCTCCCTCCTCCAACCTCCTCAGGCTGAGTCTCTTCTCCTACCCCTCCACCGGTGGTCATTGCTACCCAAGTAGCAACCAGGCCATTTCAGCAGAAGGAGGTCTACCTTTTGCCATAACCCTCTGCCCCCAACAAAGAGTCGGGCCAGGCACAAGTCCAACAGTCCCCTAACCCAGGTAACTCCTAGGAGCCTCTCATTCACCCCTAAGCCTCTCATACACCCCTAATCCAGTTATGTAGGGTGTCCTAGCCAAAAGATTCCAACCCCTGGGAATAATAATCCAGTGTGGTGAGCTCGGGAAAACTGACTTTCCTACCCCTGGCAGGAGCCCCATATTTTCACTTTGCACTGAGCCCTGCAAAATAATTTAGCTAGACCTGAGGAAAACTTCTACATCTTTACCAAATGAGCTCCCAGTCTCCGCTTACATACCTGTGAATAACAAGGAAGTGATTGCTTGGTGACATAACATGTTGAAGTCCTGAAAAATTTTAATTGAAAGTTCTTTATATTAAGCTAAAAATTGGTACTATGTGGTTGCCATTCACAGTTCCCAGTTCTCCCATCTGGAAAAATACAAAAATGTCTGTATGCCTCTTTAATAGAATAGCTTCCATATTTGAAAGCTCACATCATGTTCTCCCAATTCTTCAAGTAGAATGTTCTTATTTCCTTCAGCTTTTATAAATCTATCTTGGTTTCAAGTCCCCTTTTCATACTAGTTAAATAACTTTGGAATTGCTCTTGTGAAGGTCATCTAGACTAAGGTACAACATACCAGGTATCCTCTGACAAACATATAGCTCAATAGGAAGATGCCTACTTCTATCTGGACAATAGAATTTACACTGTCACTGCCATAACAGTCTCACAGTAATGGCTAACATTGAGTTTGTAGTTGATTACAAGCCCAGAACACACATAAACTCAGTTCCCCATCCTTTACTGACATCATTGATTTTCGAACCTGCGTTTCGGATGATGCTTTTATTTCTGTTAAGCTTTGTCTTTCATGATTTTATCACACTCTTCATCCAAATGAAAACTTTAAATATTAATATTTTTGTGGTTAGACTTTATCCATAGATCTGTGTTAATAGTCTTTTCATATAACTACTACTCATTTATTTATTCAATTATATACTGAATTGCTCATAGGAGCAGGAACGGCATGTGGTGTGGAGAGTCAGTGATGAGCAAAGATAGTCCTCACACTCATGGAGCAACAGTCTACTGAGGGTGCAAATGGGAGCCAAATATCGCACAGGTAAGCATGAGAAGGGCTGTGGTGAGCAGAAGCCAACAGAACATGTAATTGGAGGAATTCATCTAGTCAGGAAGGTCAGGAAGTCTTCCCTGAGATGAAGACTGAATGAAGGGTTAGAGCACTGCTGTTCTAGAGAAATAGAATGTGATTCATATATGTAATTTTAAATTTTGTACTAGCCACATGAAAAAACATTTAAAAATTTATTTTAATATGTTCAATCCAATAGATTCAATATATTATCATTTCAATATATAACTGATATGAAACATTATTGAGATACTTTTACGTCCTTTCCTTTTATTTTCACTAAGTCTTTGAAATCCAGAGTATATTTTACAGTTTGGATGACCACATTTCAAGTGCTCAATAGTTACATATGGCTAGTGTTTATAACACAGGCAGTACAACTGAGGATGAAAAGGTGAAAAGGGAATTCTTTTCAGGTTCAATAATTATTTTATTTATAAATTTCCACCAGCTCTTGCCAGTCATATTATTCTGAATATTACAGGTGGATTATAAAATAGTATTATCTTAATAGTATTACATGGAAGAAAATTAGGGGATAAATAGTATTATCTATTAGTATTACATGTAAGAAAATTAGGGGAAAGAAGAGAAGAAATGTATAGATTGCATTAGAATGACACCTTAAAACTCATATTTACACTGTAGTGCTCTGTAAACAAACAGGCATACTAGCTAAAGCCAACTCTTTCTGGCAAAAGGTATGCCGTGACTCTGTTGAGGAGAACATGATCATGTGAGAGACTGAAGGAAATCCAGTGTGGAGCATGATGAGAATGAGGAGATCAGTGGGGGCGTGATAAAGCAGATCTTCAAGGGCGTGGTCATTAATTTTGTCTTTATCTGGAAGTAATGGTGAACCAGTGAAGAGGCATCTAAGTGGTTGTATTTGAAAATCTTATTCTGCCTTTTATGTTTCTGTATAAATTATTGATAGAAGCACTGAGCTCTATAGCCAACTAGATGCCTGGCACTATGCATTGTTTAGACTAACTATAATTCACTGAAGTGTAAGCTCCAAAAAGTCTTTTATGTCTACTGCATTCACCAGAGTGCTGACACAGAGTAGGTCCTTAATATGTATTTGTTATAAAAATAATGAATAATAATTGGGGTCTTCCCTAATTGGCTACTTTCCAAGCTCACGTAGTCACTTGAAGTCAAATAGCTCAGCTGCTTCCAAGCTGAGTCAGTGGCTCCCAGTCACAGCTCTCATTGTCCTGTCTCAGCCAGCATCCCTGACTCACTCCAGAAAGCTCCTATTTCCTTCTCAGGGGTAAGAGTTTCTGACTGTTTAACACTGTCCCCAACTCCACCTCCCCACCACCAAAGCCTTTAACCCCTTCAGAGTTATCTAGGCAAACTCCACCTCCCCTTTTCCCAAATATCATATTTTATCCTGTTACGCCAAAGCCATAAACAACCCACTGAGACAAAGAAATCAGTACAGAACACAAAGCTTAATTCTCTGAAGTCTCCCACAGAACTAAGAAGAAGCACGAACTAACATCTGATAGGTCATCTGGCCACCTGTGAGTACCTCTTTACATCACATGTTGGATTTTCACAAGTCACAGGGCATCTTGGGCTGTGCAGAGGAAATGCTGGATGTTTACTTGGTACTTTCATATTTGATGTCTGGAAGAGGAGGCAGGTTTATATTTTTGTGTAAGGAAAACTGGGAGAAGAACAAAGATGTTGAAAGGATATTCATTTTGTGTCAGCCCAAAGGACTACTTTTAAGCTCTAAAGATAAAGATAGAAGCCAGAATAACTGTGTTTCTGGTAAAAGTTGGAGTCTTGGTCATATGCTTCTTAATTCTTTGGGCACATTTAAAGAACGAGGCATCAATATGGAAGAAGGGTCCTAATGAATCCTGCCACAGACCTCAAAGCATCTGAGCCCTTACATCCAGGAGAATAGGCTCACACATGCAGAGAAGCTGTGGTTGGTGGCTAGAGCGAGTGGAGCCAGAGCAGATTCTTATGGATGGCACAGACTTACAAGTGGCCAACTGTCCCCAAGAAGACTTAGGCTGTTAAACATTCATTTGAAGCAAACCCTGGAAATAAAGTTACTGGGTGAAATATAGGATACCCACTTAAATTTCAATTCCAAATAAGTAGTGGACAATATTGTGGAATAAGACCTAAAATCAATATTATGTGCTGCTTAGACATTTAAAACTGGGAGGGTCTCAAATGGCCAAACTGTAAATTTCCCTCCCCATTACGCTCTTGCAGATAATATTACCTAGTCAAACAAACCTCTTAATCATGGGGAGCAGTGATGAACTTCAGTTTCCTGGTAACCCATGGAATTATTCAAACAAGTCTATCACAACCTCTCAGAGGAACCAGGGGTTACTGCAGTCTCTTAATACTAAAAAGCTTACTTCCCACAGCCCCACTCAATGTTCTTGAGTTCCACCCCTGGGTGACCTTGCATAGTGTGCAGTGTCCTCTTATCCTGGGCTGTGAGTGTATGTGACTAACAAACTGCTGCCAATCTCCACTGTCCAGTATCAGGTGTCATGTGTCTGACCATGGGTAGGAATTCCTTCCTCAACAATGGAGTGAACGAGAGATGATCAAAACAGATGTCTCATTTGATATGTAATTTTAAAAATCTTGCATTGTTTACCTGATATTTGAATTTACCTGGCATCTTGTAATTTTTTTTGTTTTTTCTAAATCTAGTAACCTTACCTGGAAAGTGCTGGAAATAATGGGGATAGACTTCGGAAGGTTATGAGGCCCAATAGCCTTGTAGTTGGGGACTCAGCCTTGAGGCCTTGAAGGACTTTGTGGTGTTAATACCACTCAGACTTCATCTGTACCCAGTCTTGTGACCTCTGGGCAACTCAAGTTATACCCGTATTATTATCTTAATTCTCCCCAAGCACCATGAGAGGTTGATAGTGTCTTACCTCTTAACAATATAAGGAAACTGTTGCTCATACTCACTTATTCAGGGCTTCAAATCTCAAATTAGAACTCCATTTTTTTGACCTATCGTGCCTTTTCCTTTAATTACAATTTATACTTTGTTAGCACTAAAAATTGACTGAGCTTTACACATGGGGCATCTTGTCAGATCATGGTCATATAACATGGACTGTATTGTAAATGTGACTCAGTGGTCATTGATCTTGCACATGCCCCTTCCTTTACATTCTGTCACTATCGAATTTTTTGACGTCTGTCTCTACAATCAGCCATTCTGAAAACATCCACCAGACTAATTTCCCTAATGCTCACTTTCTAGCTTAAATCAATAATTCTTCTGTAGAATAAAAGTCAAATTCTTTAAATTGACATTTAAGATTTAATATTAGCTGGACCCACCTTTCTCACCCTCTGAGAATTCCTTTATAAAAATATGAAGTCCAATCCCTTACTAAAGGCTGTATATACTTTGAGTTTTTGTTTCTTGATTTTTCTGCTAGATCTTTCTTCTCTAGACTTTCAAACTCTCCTCTACCTGAACACAGCCCATATCAGACCTTGTTTAAGGGTCACCTTTAGTATCTCCGTAGTTGAATGAAAACTCTCTCTAGTATAAGCTCCCAGAGCATTTTATCTGCTTCTCTTGTGGTTGATATTAGTGTATAGCTCATATAATGTTTTTATACATGTCTTTCCCTCACTGTTAGATGAAAACCTCATTGAGGCCATGATTTACGTATGATGTGTCTTGAAAAATCTCAACACATTAAATTAGATTTGTTTTGGTTTTTGTTGTCTTTTAGTAAATAGATTTTATGAAAAGGTCCTCTTTTCTCATCTAAAAATGTGCTCAAATTATGCTCTTTCAAAGCTCCGGTCTTGTGGAATTCCACTCTCTCTCTCTCTCTCTCTCTCTCTCTCTCTCTCTATGT